AGGTGATGCGTCGAGATTCGAATATAGCCTCGAGCTGAGAGAACCAGAGACGAGGGTCGCGAGAACAGAATTCTGGCAACTTGACATGTATGACGTTGTCTACCTCATGTGCTTGCCTTTCTTCAGAGGCCATTATAATGAAATAAATGCGTGGAGAAAAAAAATCGGACTGACGGAAACCTATGGGAGTACTGCAGAGAAAATGACAATAAAAAATAGGGCTCACCAATCATGTAGCGGACAAGGACCTAAGTATGCGTGTTCAATAAAGTATACAATCAAAATATCAGCTTAGAAATAACAAATGGCAATAAGAAATGGATAAGTGAATGGAACAGACTCACTAAATTGGGGGTCCAATAATGCCGATACACGAGATGTTATGCAGTAATCGTATTCGGCGGCGAAGAATATATCCAGAGTAAGAAGGATATTCTCCGCTGATAGTTCGAGTGTTAGAAGTAAATACCACGGTAGGAAGTTATCACAGACAAACACAATAATCCAATCCCACGACTTCAGCAAACAGCAATCAGTCCAATCGGATGCAATTTCACTGAATGAGCAAAAAGCAGGGAAGTCGCACCAAGAAATTGTGTATTTCACCATTTTCGATTTTAATGTAATTATTGGTACAATAAAACAAAATGTCATGATACGTGTACAGTGTTTACAAATTGCAATTCAAGTTTATATGAAGAGAGTAGAAAATGGGGAAAATGTAACATTCATTTGCAAAACACCACAGGCTGCTTCAGTTCGCCGTGATCAGTCGGAGCATATAATCATGAAGCCCCATGCTAATTCAAGCCACTTTCGCACAGGTGGGACTGAAGCTTGAAAAGGTGAGAATTAAAGTTGCAAGGTACGCACGAAACAAGTGGATAAGCCTGTCAGCCTACCAGAAACCTCCTAAAATGTGTGAAAATCCTACGTGAGGAAAAACAAAAGCAGTTCCGCACAAAACGCCGATACAAGATAGGCAGCATACGTCCAAACCCTTAGTAAATATCAACTTCATTGGCGCATATAGTAGGGGGAGAAATGACTGTTCTTGATCCACAAGAAGCCCTTGGAATCTTTGGGACATTTCTCCCTCATGTTGCAATTCGGTCTGAAAATTGAACTGAAAGTACTCCAATCATTTCATTACTCACCTTCAAAAATGTGCGGTTAGCTCCTCGGCCTGCGGTCGCGCCCATACCATGTCCGTGAAGACGTCGGCTCGATGAGTGAGCCGGGAGAGATAGACCTCGTCACATTCCTGCCCTCGATGCACTATGAAATACGACCGGAGCCAGTTATAATAAAGGGTTGTGGAGATATCACGATGTGAGTTGCCGCAGGAACAGCTAATATATTAATATTAACATTAATTAATGTTACTTTCCTGATCTAATAAAGCTACGCGCCCCTAAGTAGCCCACTTTTGTTCAAATCATAGTTGGCAAATGCGACGACATAATATGTGCGGTGAAGTGGTATTCTTGATCGTTGTATATGTATGCATTGAGATGGGTGTTGGAGTGAGATGTTTCAATGCATTTTTCTTCCCATACTTTATATAGTTCGTACTCCATATAGCTCATCGTTTTGCTACTTACACGTTCTGTTCCTCGTTAATGGAAGCACAGAGAGTAGGGACCACCATCACTGACCAGTTTGTGGGTAAGACCTGAAGACAGATTGGAGATTAGGAGAAACCCGCTATGTCGTTCCTGAAGTTGTTTTTAATCCTCATAGGCAATGCGTGTGGAAAACCGAATTCCATGGATACCTGTTATATGGTGAATCAATCGACAGGTCCAAGTTCTTCGTCTTAAAGAACCTGAACGAATTCTTTGAAGGTGCAAAACGCATGGTAAAAGTGGGACGGCCTTTGGTCTACTGGTTAGAGTACGTTACGCGAACAAATATTCGTCAAGGGGCCAAACGGTGTCTTTGTGATCCCATCCATCAACCTCCTCAGGCACGAATTCGAAACCTAGATTTCTGATGCACGACACAGTTCACCAGGATCGTTTGTGAATTTGAAGGACATTCTTTATCCAAGAATATTTAAAAGGATCGCATTATCCACAAGGTTCATGGCTATTTGTTAGTCGGAAGAAAGTGCGACTGTCGATCAGTAGTAAGTTTTGTGCTGCGTTGCTCAGGCACTGGACGCAATGGTGCCAGCTCAAAGGCCTACTTGGTGCTTGTGTTTCAGGTGCCGATAATAGGGAAGAAACGAACTGGTGAAATGTAAATGAGAAAGTTATCAGCAGTAGCTCGTTTTTACTCACCCGCTCTGCAGTATGCAGCGACTTGGGTGATTCAATCGAAGGCACCAAACGACGCGATGTGGCATGGGGTCATTAGTAGTCGTGTAATCTGTGATTGCACGTGGGTCGGAATGCTGTCAGGAAATAGGTCCCAGGCCTAGACAGAGCTATTTGGGTCCTGGCATGGCGCACTTCCACCGTGTTTCCAGTCTTCAAAAAATGGCACAAGAACGTCATGTGAAAACCATTGTGACGCTACCGTCTTTCACCATTCCTCTTCAACTTTTTTATTGATGTGCTGCTTGAAATTTCTCCGCCTGCTTCTGAAGCCTCGGGGGTTGAAATGCTCCCAGGGGAGACATTGAGCATGCGGACAATATTACTATCCTTGGTCCAGACCCTTCAAAGATGCAAATCATTTGAATAGCCTAAATAATTCCCTCGCGCACTTTGGTATGCGCCTCACACTTGCAAGGAGTAAAGTGCTACCGCAAGACTGGTTGGGGTCAAATCCAAACCTCATGCTTGCAGATGGCGAGGTGGCTCAAACAGTTAGAGCGCGAATCCGCTGACCGGAAGAGCCGTGGTTCGAACCCGGCCTCTGCCTCCCGATTTCTCCTGTCTAGGCTCGAGCAACCTGGCAGTGTCCTAGCCCTCGTGCTTCCTTCTGGTGGTATGGCAGGTAGGCAGGCACTGAAAGGGTGCTACAGCAAAACGATTTTTCGTGCTGGCAGATGATCCTATCCAGTTGATCCGTAAATTCATTTGCTTGGCAGTTAATACAATTTCCACTGGAAAGGCTGGGGACGAGGTCAGTCCTCGAATCGGGAAGGCCGGGGGGACTTTTTCCCACATCAGACATCTTGGCACCGGCGAAGTCAGTTTGCCTGTCAAGGGCATCATGTAGACAGTGGACTCGCGATCCATACTGCTTTATGGATAAGAAAATTAGCCTCTACGCACAGGGGACGTACGAAGGCTGGTCCCGAAGCAGTGGTTGTGTCTGGTGGGAGTATCGAATTAGCAGTGCTGAGGAACGTTAGATAGTTCTAGGAGCATGAAATGAGTAGCTCACTTCATGGTTTACACTGATTGAAAGGTGTAATTCGTATGCCCGATGACTGTGTGCCTCGTGGAGCTATCTTCATCCATGCCTGTTCTGAGTGGAAGTGACGAAGGGGCGGACAGTCTAATTATGGAGAATAACCAGTAAACTGAGTCCGGTTGGCAACTCAATTCACCAATGGGTGACGACACTGGCAGACATGGCGTAATCACGTAGTCAGTGGTGCTCGTCTATCGAAGCGGTCGCCTTGAGTCTGTTTTTGTCCAGTTTCTAGAAATAACTGCTCATACCATGGCCTCCGATGTTTGGCTATGTCTCTCGCGCCCTCCCATTTTCCTTAGACAGAAACTGTAGCAGCTGAAACACCCTATCCTCGGCAACTGAATGATTATCTTATTATCAATTTATTATCTATCAAGTGACTTCAACAGCCGTAGATGATTACATCGGTGTTCGCGTGTCCCTCAAGTGTTGAGCTTAGGCTTCAACGCTTTATTGGATATCCATAAGCAGTTGCTTCGGTGACATTCTTTTGTCCACTTCCATAAGGTCTCGCGCTGGTCAGAGTATTAATCGCCCTTTGTTCATTGTTTTTTCTTTCGAGCTAACTAACTGTTGCTTGATTCCGTGAAAAAAAGCCGGAAAGATAACCATCCTTTCTGTTTACCAGGAGAGGTCCAGGTATGGTCATAATAGCAGATTTCAATGTCCGAGTAGGAAGCCTTAGTTCATGTGAATGATTCGGTGGCAGATTCATTTTAGATAACGCTTTTTACAAGTCCTTCATCATCATTGGGTTTTTGGCGCTACCTGAAGTTACCTTACTGCTAAACAATAATGTGACCAAATCGACCACGTAGATGTTAGTCATCGATGGTCCAACCATAGGGTTATAAGTCTCGCCAGTCGCAACATGGTTGATGGCCTCCTCTATATTGTGACGCCTATCTTAAGCACGTGAGACGCAAGTACGATAGCACCAAGTAGTATTTCGACTTGGCAAAGGATTTGTCAGGCTTATCTTTCCATTACGTCAAGTGCTTGATCAGCGCCACTTGTTCCGCCAACAACCAACATTGGCAGTTTTCCCAAACTTGTCGATCTGGAATATGCAGACGAAATCGTCCTCATCTTGGAAGAGGAGAAGGAGGCGCAAGTGTTCTTGGATGAACTGACCAAAGTTATCCCGTCCTTTGGCATGCACTTTGCACCTACAAAGTATAACGTCATGCTCCTGGATATACAGTCACTCAACACTCTACTTACAGTCCAGGGGGAAGCACTCGAAGTTGTGGAGCGTTTTACCTATCTGGAATGTTGTATTAGTTCCATTTGTAGTGTGACGGATGATGTCAATGCACGAATCTGAAAGGCTCGGGTCGCGTTTGCTAATTTGAGACACCTATGGCATCAAAGTGGTGTATCCCTGAATCTCATGTAACCTGTGTGTCAAGCTACAGCGTGGACTGTTTTGTTGTATGGCTGTGAGACTTGGCCTGTTTGGGCGGTGGAACTAAGACGTCTTCAGGTGTTCGACAATCGTTGTCTGAGGACCGTAGCTCGTGTGGATTGGGGTCAGCGTATCCGTAACGAGGCTGTTAACAAGCGAGTGTCTGGTTGTGCAACGGGTACTTCCATTGAAGAATGTGTCCAGCTTCAGAAGCTGCATTGGTTGGGACATGTGTTGCGTATGTCTGGCCATCGTTTGCCGAAAAGAGTGCTGTTTTCCATGCCGAATTCAGAGTCGCGGAAGCAGAGAGGTTGCCAACCCTTGACCTGGTAGAGGCGTATGAAAGAAGTCACGAAACCTATGAGTGCTGTCGGTGCTACTCGCCTTTCAGGATGGGGACTACGTGATCCCCACGGCGCCTGGTTGGAGACGCTGCAAGATATGGCTGCCAACCGATGTCAGTGGCGTTCTTGTTGTCAGTTTCTATTCACATCGCCTGAGTGAGTGTTTGGGGGTATGAAGTAGTAAGCCAGCACTAAGTCCCATCCCCATTTCTTCACAATAAAGCTTTCAACTAAATCATGGTTGTACGGCAGTGAAGCATCGATGTTGAACACTGACGTTATGCTGTCGATGATGATGATGACTATGATTCCTAGACTTTAGAGGAGTCCTTGAATCTGCTAATATATTAGCTCTTCCGCATATTCTTGTCCAGGGGGGGGGTAATATTTAAGTTCATGAGCATTCCCCATGTCCTTTATTCCCATAACTCCTGTCGGGTTAGGCTGTGTATTGGACTAGTGAGAAGCCTCCCGATAGCTAGTGGAGTTCGTCAGGGTTGTACTATTGTAACGGTTTCCCTTCCGCTTAATTACTCCAATCGATTTCATATCTGTACCTGTTTTGTGTCTCACAATCACGCGTCAACATCGTGACGCGAATACGACCTTGATGAACAGTATGTTAATAAGATGTCAACTCTAGTTTCGTGACCTTTTGAAGGACGCATGTGAGCCAGGATTGACCCAATTACTAGTGCGTCTGTTTGTAACTAACCGATCAATAAACCGAAGATAATACCCACTAGTGAAATGTATGCTTACAAGAGTGCAGGTATAGTACAAAAGCTGGGTGCACCTTGAGTAATATAAGACCTCAAAACGAAAATAGGTCAAAAGTTGGGGACTTATCGTTTTGATATGGCTTCCAGTTGATTAACACTTTATCGTCGATAATTCGGATAACCAGCGGGAATTGACGCTTGCGACGTTGTGCGCTGGTAAATCCAATACCGGATTGTGATGTGCATTGTTCGGGCTGTTGTGAGTTGAGCCGGAACTGCGTTCTGATGTGCGCGTTTTCGCCCGATGCATGTCTGTGGTTGACCATGTTGTGTCATTATATATGTGTCGTTGCATTGAAGGTGGAAGGTGAAAACAATAATGGGGAATCACAGTCTCTTTTTTGTTCAGTTTGGCACCAACATGGAGTGCGCACTTTAAGCGACCGAGAATCTAGGTTTCGAGATAACGTCTGAAGAGAGATTAAT